AGGACCCAACTCAGGCGCTGCGATAGTGCTTGCGGATACGGCTGCCATACCAGCCTTTCGACGTTTTGCTGTTGCGCGTGCTCTGTGGCGTTCGTCCTGTCCCTCTGCGTGGCGGAACCTTCCTTTGCCGACGAGGGTGCGGAAACCGTCGTTCTGACAATCCGTTGACATTCGCGCTCGGCGTTTCTGTACGCCAGCCAGACGGCGCACCAGATGAGCCACCATGCTGGCAGCAAGCCGCCCATATACCCGTAGCCCCCAAGGAGCATGCGTCGGTGGCGCAGAAAGTGGATGACGGTGCCGAAAATGCAAGCCAGTACGAAAAGCTGCACATAGCGGCCGCCATTGCGCCGCGGAACCAGGAGCGCCGGGACAGGAAGCAAGAGAAGGGCAATCAGTTGCCAGAGGAAAACTGGCTTCGCCTCGCCATTCTGGATGAGCGATTCGTACTGACTATGGTAGTCTTCGACGAGTTGGCGGTAGAAAGGAATGGGAGGGGTGGCGGCCATAGGAGGATCGCAATTCGATCAGAAACGACCACCACGAGAGAAGATGTACCCTATAGTTATATATATGCGGCGCAAAAGATGTCCTGAGAAAGTGAGACTAGATTGTTGATTCAGTTCGACTGGCAGTTGAAGCTGTTTAGTAATCCGATAATCGACACTGCCTCAAATTCATGCCTGAACAGGAAGCGGTGGGTGGTAAGCAACAACGGCAAGAGTGGTGGGACTGCTGGAGCCCACAAGGTGCTGTGCCAGAGTATGTACTGTATATATCGTAGAGATAGAAATCCAGATGTATGGGGAAAAGGTTATACTATGTATCCATGGTCAAATAATGCTATGGGACAGCCAATTTGGAGGTAAGTGGTGGGATCGACTCTCGGGGGCAAAGGGACTGAAAAAAGGCGGATCCCTCAATAGTTCGTCACCGAATTACGAGGTGGGCGGTGATTGATTCGCCAACGCAAGGGGCACGATTCAGTCCCTGTCTTTCTCTTCGATTCCTTTTGGTTTGCTTTTTTCTTCTGAGCATTTCCCATGCATTTCAAAGCATGATAACCCTCCCCCTTGTTGCGTGCTGCACTCCTTACCACCTGCCAATTGTGCATTATGCGGAGTAGACAAGCTGCCAAACGAAGGTCAGCGATATGCGGAATGTTATGCACATTTGGCATATCTGCGGATTTGAGTGACTCTTATCTATCCAGTTCATGATTGAGTTTTTGCCCCGTTCACTTCTACTCAGTAACAGAGGACAGAGTGCTGGATCTGTTGATATACTGACATCATGTTCTCAATCGGCAACTGGCGGGAGTCCGGGGCGATGTCACATGTTCATTGGTCACATGGGCGCGTGTCTTTCCGCGTCATCGAAGCGAGAGATCCATTGCTGTTATTGATCAATTCCACTACACTAACTTACTAGGTACGGTAGTGTATAACATCAGCACCTGATTTCGAAACATCGACCACGGGAAATTCTCCGGCGCTTGGCCAGGTACCCATTTCTATCATGGGCCTTCATCCGGAGAAGCGGGGCATCGATTATACTGACTTCGCCGACAGCAGCCCGTATGCGCGTTTCAAGTCGGCGCGTACCAGCTTCGGGCAGCGCTTTGGTGAGGAAACAGCCTATGTCCCTCTTGGACAAGCATCGCAATCCTTCATCGGAAACGAAGAGGACGACGACGACGACGCCCGGGCTGCTGATCTGGTTCAAAGCAGCCAAGATGTAGAGGAATCCGGTTCGTTGCTGCATTACGGCGACCTGAACACGAAGATTGTGGGCGTTCGCTACTACAGAGGGCATGCCACCATTGGCGAGCATGTGATCATCAAACGAGAGCCTTCGAATCAGTACGATAGAAACGCGATTCGAGTTGACAACGTGATGGGCAACCAGATTGGTCACATTCCAAGAACCATGGCAGCCAAGCTGGCAAAGTATCTGGTATGCTGCGCAAAGTGCTGTACATGCGAGTGTAGCTCCGGCGTTGGCGATCTGCTAAAACCTCGCATATAGGATGAGCGGTCTTTGCTCGTTGAAGGCATGCTGACAGGTGTCATTGGCGCTTATGACTGTCCCGTCGTGCTGAGACTCTACGGCACGAGTAATCCTGAGCTCCGACGCGCTCTCAAAAGCAGCATGGAAGCGGACAGGTTGCCTTTGAATGGCATCAGACAAAGGGAGCGGGAGGAGAGTAAACGGCAGAAAGAGCGTGAGAAGGCCGAGAAGCAAGCGGCCAAGCTGGCTCGTGCCATGGCAAAGAGCAAAAAGGATAAGGAGTGGCAGCTTTCAAGTAATATGGGCTACTCAAATCTCTACTCCGGGGAAGGTGACCTGGATATTGAGAACCAGGAAAGTCTTGAAGAGCTCATTGGACAAAGCAGCACCTTCAACCCTCGCGATATCGGTCAAGTGAATGAAGACTTTGGCATCAAAGAAGCTGACTTAGAAAAGATGCCCATGGCCGAAAATCCAGATTCTCTGGCTACACAGCTTCTACCATATCAGCGCCAGGGGTTGGCTTGGATGATTGCTCAGGAGAACCCGGTACCTCCTGCAGCTGGATCTGCGGAGGTTGTGCAATTGTGGAAGAGGAATGGCAACAAATTCACCAACATCGCTACCAATTACTCTACCTCACAGACGCCCCCTCTGGCCAGTGGTGGTATCCTGGCTGATGACATGGGCCTTGGCAAGACGATTCAGATCATCTCTTTGATCCTCGCAAATTCCCAGCCCAAGACTCCAGCCTCTTCTAAAGCCACTTTGATCATCTCCCCAGTGGGCGTGATGAGCAATTGGAAGAACCAGGCACAGGATCACACTCACAGCGACCGAGCCCCTAAAGTGCATGTCTACCATGGTCAAGGGAAGAAGGAGGCCGCCAACCTCGATCAGTATGATATCGTCATCACAAGCTATGGTGCTTTGGCTATGGAGTACAACCCGAATGCCAAAGCGCCTCCGAGGAAGGGGCTATTCTCGCTCCAATGGCGTCGTGTAGTCCTTGACGAGGGTCATACGATTCGCAATCCACGTTCTAAAGGTTCTATTGCGGCGTGTAACCTAAGGGCAGACTCGCGCTGGACGCTTACAGGAACCCCTATCGTGAATACCCTCAAGGACCTTTACTCCCAAGTTCGCTTCCTCCGACTCACCGGTGGCCTTGAGGATATGTCTGTGTTCAACAGCGTTCTCGTTCGGCCTCTTATGTCTGAAGATCCCAATGCTCGTTTCCTACTACAAGCTCTGATGAGTACACTCTGCTTGCGCCGTCGGAAGGATATGAACTTCGTGAATTTGCGTCTTCCTCCGCTCACTTCCCGGGTCCTACGTATCAAATTTTATCCGCACGAGCAAGAGAAATATGACATGTTCCAGTATGTTTCACCACCGGGCTTTCTTTCCCACTGTCTCTGGCTCACTAACAATTCCCAGGTCTGAGGCGCAAGGCATGCTCATAGATTTCAAATCGAAGGACAAAGGCGGCGCCACATATTCTCACCTTCTCGAAGTCATCCTACGTCTGCGACAAGTCTGCAACCACTGGGCGCTTTGCAAGAACCGCATTGACAAACTAGCGGAGTTCCTCGAGAAGAACAAGGTCGTTCCCTTGACCCCAGAGAACATCAAAACGCTTCAAGATGTCCTGCAAATCCGCATTGAAAGTCAAGATTCCTGCCCCATCTGTCTCGACCCCATACAGCAGGAACAACCCGTGATCACCGCCTGCGCTCACGCCTTTTGCCGGAAGTGCATCGAAGAAGTGATCGACCGCCAACACAAGTGCCCCATGTGTCGCGCCGACATCGAAGACAACACAACGCTCGTCTCCCCCGCCGCGGAGATGGGTGAAAGCACGGACACCGTCGTCGCCGACCCCGACAACCCCAGCAGTAAGATCGAAGCCCTGGTCAAGATCCTCACCGCGAAGGGCCAGGCTGCCGACACCAAAACCGTGGTCTTCAGCCAGTGGACCTCGTTCCTAGATCTGGTGGAGCCCCACCTCCAACGCCACGGGATTGGCTTCGCGCGTATCGACGGCAAGATGAACTCCCTCGCGCGCGACAACTCCACAACCCGCTTCTCCAGCGATCCCGAATGCACTGTCCTGCTCGCCAGTCTGAGCGTCTGTAGCGTCGGTCTGAACCTTGTTGCCGCCAACCAGGCCATCCTCGCCGACAGTTGGTGGGCGCCCGCCATCGAAGACCAGGCCGTGGACCGTGTCTACCGGCTGGGCCAGAAGCGTGAGACCACGGTCTGGCGCCTGGTCATGGAGGACAGTATCGAGGACCGTGTGCTGGCGATCCAGGACACGAAGCGCAAGCTGATGCTGGCGGCGTTCCGTGAGACGTCCACGAAGAAGAAGCTCGATGACAAGGCCACCAGGGTGGCGGACTTGGAGTCGCTTCTGAAGTAGTGAAAGGGTGTTTGTTGTACTGTACTGTCATATGACTAGAGGTTGAGGCCATTAAACACATAGCCTCATTTCTGCCCTCCGCCTCGCTCGAAACTCAGTGCTCTGCCGCGGAATAGAGGATTTTAGGCATCTAGTTCTGGTTTCCGTGTACCCTGTTAGTGTTATTAGCCAGCCAGCTCTGCGGACTTATCTTTCGGGATTTTTAGAAATTTACCATGGTATGTGAGGTATCACTGTTCCTTATTTGTGCACGACAAAAGCACTACATCTAGAGTAGGTCTCCTGTGCACCTCTCAAACACCGCACACCTTCCGAATATGCGCGTTTCCCGCCAATCCCCACACGAACGAAGCACGTATGCCAACGATTTCAACTGAGGGAAACCCCGCAATCAAAAAGGCTATCATAATTTTCCATTGCATATCAATTTCATCAATCCATTTCAAGGTTATGTTTTCAGTTATCGCACCATCCTGTACGACCATCACAAAAAGAGAAAGGAAACAGTAACCTGGGTGCGAGCCGTGCTTGATGCAAATGCAGATGTGAAGTCAGTCTGTAAAAAGACTAAAGGAAAACCCCACAATCACTATGCCCCACCATGTCATACGTAACAGTTTCAACTGACCCAACTAACCGTGAAGAGTATCATTATTCGTTGACTAGAAGCAAGAAGAAAAAAGAGCGTTGAGAAGCAAACTTTGACCGCGACGCCGAGCAGTAGTACAAAAGAGCGACTCGACTCGAGTCGGCTTCACTCGACGCCATTCGATCCTGGAATTGTTGACAAAGGGTAGCGGTGGTAAGTGATGTACAAGAGTCCGTAAGAAAAATTTGTGCTGTGAAGGGTACTAGAAGTGACAGTAGAAAATAGACAAAGTCCTCCATCCTGCCCTAGGAAACAGAAGGAAGGTACCTGTCGTGAGGGACATCGTAGAAGTATATGCAACTACATGGAAAGAAACAATCTTGATAGACTGAAATATGAATCAGAGACCGGGTGTAAGGGATGCGGAAATCATTCTTCGTCACGGATCCTCCGCGTGGTGCTTCACTGGGTCTTGCAGACAGTATTTTTCTCGGGCACACTGGGTGAGGTTTCCTGCTGGGGAGTAGAAGTGTTCTGGAAAAATGGAGAGACAACCTGCTGCTGTCCGACAGTAAGTTTGTCGTCGAGTAGAAGTGTGCTCTCAGTGCTGGTCTGCTGCAGTTCTGACGCTGGTGTTGGGGTCAGAAGCACCGGGGACGGTGGAAAGTATTCTTCCTCACTCTCTATCGTGTCCGTCTGCACGGGGTGAGTGATAGAAGGATCTATAAGTGGCTGGGAGTATCCACCGTCATTCTGTGTTCCGGTCGCTTGCACTGGCACAGCGGTAATCTGATTCGCGAACGGTGGGGCGTATCCAGCGTCACCGTTACCTACGATGAGGCCGTCTTGCATAGTAGCCGAGTGCGACGTTACTGGCTGTGAGTAAGGCTGAGATGCTAGCGGACTGTGCTGGGCCGGTGGCGGTTGCAGATGGTTGTACATCGGGCCTGGTAATTGAAAATGGCTCAGGTCAGGACCGAGAGCAGGAGGACCGGAATTGTGGGCGCTGGGTGGAACCATGGACTGGGATGGCAAAAGCTGAGGCATCGGTGGCGGGTGCTGCGAATACGTGTATTGATATGGAAGGGGAGCCCGAGCTATAGGCATCGATGAGGGCTGGGCAAGGGGCTGAGAATACGAGCCATAGGGGACAATGACCGTCGCGAGCCTTTGTTTTTCTCTCATTCGTTCTTGCCAGGCGGCCGGATCTTCGCGTTTGAGGCGTTCGTCGGTGATGACCTCTAGAGCCTCTCGCTTTTCTTCCTCAGTCAACTTGTCGTTGTCCTCTTTCTGGAAGGTTTCAGTCAAGCCGATCTTCCGAATGATGCTTTCCTTTGAACGTGCGTCTCTCTCGAGGATTTTATCCAACACCTCAGGATCCTTCCCTATGTACTCGGAGACGTCTGTTTGTGGCACATTCTTGACCGGGAATAAGTACTCGCCAAGCTTCTTTGACGCCCAGCGGACTGGGTTTTTCTTGTCAACAACGCGGAATGCAAGTTGGGTTTTGTAGACCGCTTTATTGTACATGACCTCCTCAAATGTGCCACCCGAGAGGAATCGGTACACAAAGACCGGCTTTTTCTGACCAAGACGGTACGCACGCCCGACGGCTTGCTCTTCCCAGACAGGGTTGAAGGTGAAATCAAAGATTATCACCCGATTTGCGCCAGGGATATTGAGACCAAGCCCTCCCGCGCGGGTCGAGATCAGATAGATGAGCTCGGGAGAATTTCCATTGAACCGCTTGACTGCGCCCTGCCGCTGAGAGACCGGTGTCTGCCCGTCTAGACGACAGTATCTCCAGCCTGACCTGCTGAGAATGACTTCGACATAATTAAGTGTCGGGATGCTATGTGAGAAGACCAACACTTTGTCACCAACACGGACAGATTCGTTGATGATCTTGTGCAAGATTCGGGCTCGATGAGACAGTTCGATAGCTTCGATGTTGGGCACGGCCGAGTAAATTTGTTCCTGTTCATTCTGTAATTTTGTCAAATCAAGACCCAATTGCGAAATAGGCTCGTCACCCGGGGCTTTCTCAAATCCTTCCAGCCGTTTATCGATCTTCTGGGCGTCATTGAATCGGCTCTGGAGCTTATCCCTGAAGCACACCGGATGATTGCAGCAGAGCCCGAGAACCGCGAGCCAGGACAGAATCTCCATTCGATTGACGTCGCATCTGCCTTCCAAGATCGACCGCACATACGAATTGTAGGCGGCCTGTTGTACGTCCGTCAGAGGCACAGTGATGACAAATTCAACCTTTGGGGGCAAGCTTCCAGCAAGAACAGAGATATCCGCGCGGTTGATTTTGGGCTCGAGGATTTCTTTGAGTACATTAAGCCTCACAAGAGACCTGCGGCGCTCAGTGTACGTGCTGTCAACATACAAACCCTCCTCAATGGGTTCAACATAGTGTGCCTGGAACTCGCGTGGTTCACCCAAGTAGCCCTCCGCGATCCAATTCACCATAGCATAGTAATCTGTGAGATTGTTGGCGAGTGGGGAGCCGGTCAAGGCGACGCGACTTTTGGTCTTGATTTGCATTGCTGCTACGGCAACTGCCGAAGACGAGTTTTTCATCTTGTGCGCTTCATCGGCAATGACAATATTAGGACCATCGAGAAGCCACCTCTTGACTTTTTCATGGTCTGCATCCGGCAAGGGTTTTGACCTCTTCGAGGTTTCCCTGTTCATGATCCAACTGCGGAACATGTCATAACTCAAGATGAGTATTCCACCTCCTTCATACCACTCTTGGACCGTTTCAAGCCTCGCATGCAGTAATTCACTGCTTGTGATTTTATAAAAAGGTCCAATTTTGACAGTAGGGGGGGTCCACAAGTATAATTCGTCCTGCCAGTTGTCGGTCAACGACGACGGGCAGAGTACCAATGTCTGAGAACGACGAAATCTCTCCGGTACTTGTTTCTTGATGTCAGGATTGAGGGAGTTAGAAGCGGCAGAGATAGTCACCAAAAGTGATATGACCTGCATTGTCTTGCCCAAGCCCATTGTGTGGGCTAGCAAACAACCCTGATGAGTCTCATCGACTATCAGTTCTCGCCACATGAATTGAATCCCTTTCAGCTGATGAGGTTTCACTCGCCGCGCGATGGCCTGATGCAGATGAATTGGTGGATCCCCAAAGCTCACAACTTGATTCGTATGGTCGGTATTGGCTGCTCCCATGCTCTCCATGTACAGCTTTGCGGAGTTCTCTTGCATTGCAACACGGCGTTGCGCATTCTCTCGTGCCTTTCTAGCAGCTTCGCTCTCTTTGACTTCTCGTTTTCTGAGCCTATGAGGTGTGTCGGTGACATCGCTATGGCCAAACCCATTGCCTCGTTCCCAATCACAGTATGCTTTCAGATGGTAGGACAACTCCTGATAGAACTCCCCATAGCCTTCAACTTCCCGCAATGCTCTACGAACTTTGTTTCTAGCAATCCCCTTGGCCGTGAGTCGGGAACAAGTTACCCAGGAAATGTAGAAGGACGAAGCGCGCATGACGAGCATACTCTCTGTATATTCAAAGTCAGGCAATCGGTCTTGGCTCTGAAGCATCAACTCCAACGCTCGCACAGTGAGCTCTCGAAGATCGGCTTCCTCATATCTGCTGGGTATGCGCTCGGCCATCTGAAACCGGTCTTTGGGAGCAAGGTTGGCAATCAGCTTGATGAGAAGACGACGCGGATCTCGACGCTCCTCCAGCAGATTAGAGTCCAGCTTTTTGAGTGCTTCGTAGTCATCCATGTCAGGCAGAGAAATGGATCTTCTTCTTTGCGATCCCTCTCTTTTTAGAGCGAAGCTGGAACCAAAGTCAGAAACAGGAGACATGCTCTCGTATAGAGTAGGGTCAACCCGCGGCACCTCAACCTGAACTGGATTCAGAGGTGGTGTCGCGATGTCATAGTCATCAGGGTGTGGTGTGTCATCTGTAAGGTCAATGACTTTCGGTGTCTCATCATTGATTACGACAGGCGTTGAGTCTGGTGAACTTGAAACGGCGAATGGATATCCTCGAGATCTCACCCTTCGTATAGTTCCGGAAACACTGATTATGTCTCCTTCATCATCTGAGGATGAAGAAGGTTGCGTCGCGCCATTTGGATAAGAAATGCGTTGGACGGGTGGTGGTGGTACTTCAGAGTCATCGATGAAATCGTCGGAGTCCGAGTCGAGCGATTCAGCATCGTCGCTTCTTTTACTATGCCGATTTATGGACTTCGATAATTTCGAGGGAGGAGCCACTTTCGGTGGGCAGGTCTCGAGTCCTATCACATGAATATGATATTTGTGCTTCTGCATTCTGAAGATCGTCTGTTGTAGAGCTTGACATTGGGTTTGTAGCTCGGGTTCCGAAGAGTAGTCAACTTGCTTGATTGCGTTTTTCAGTTTATGCAAGCGACCTTCTAGCTTTTTGAGTGAGCGTGTAAGTTCTTTGATTTGCTGGTTACGGCTGTTGCTCCTTGTAGCTGCCATCCATTTCGCCCATGCCTTGGCTGCCTCTTTAGGCTTATAGATTTGCTGCCACTCAGTCTCATATTTCACTATGCATTTCTCAATGATAGATTCGACCGCATCAGAAGTAAGCTTGGCTCGTTTTCCATTCACGGGGGCTCGAGACTCCTCGTCAATCTCCCGCCAAGTCTCCTCGTCGTAGTCACCCTCAGACCCTGAGTCTCCGTACAACGGAAAGGCATCCTGATCATCTTCTTGAGCGGGGTACTTTTCCAGAAGCCATGAATATGGGTCAGAGGTCTTTGGCGGTTCAGGACCATTCAAGCTCCTGGAATTCTCAAGCTGTGGCCAGTCCCGGAAATCTTGCTTACTCACTGCAACGTGGCCACCTTTGGAGGTATAAAGAGTAAAAAATCTTTGACCTGCTTTCCCTCCTTTGATTGGATTGTAGGGGATCACAGCCTGCTTGGTAGGGCCCAGTCGCACGGGATCTTGGCGATAAAAGTGAGATAGACATTTATTGACGAAGGTGCGCCTAGCTGGGGGACATTGTGAGCCAAAGATCAAGAATCTGTCGTCTTCTGTCGCGGGACTTGAAGGGTAGAACAACTTGGAGGGCGTGGTCGCGTCGGGTCCCATGTACCATTGCCTACTCGAAGATTGGTTGGCAGACTTGTCGACAGTTTTGTCAATTGCACTATCAGCTTTGTCTTCGAGTTTGCTTAGATCAAGCTTGCGTCGTTTCCTTCCCTCTCTGTCAATTACCAATTGCTCGCCAGGACGTGAACGCTTGTGAGACTCCTGTGATGATGCACCGACATTTGATTGAACAACAAGGCTTACGCCGTCTTCTTCGCCATCTTCTTCGCCGTCGTCATCTGGTGTGTGTCTGTCCTCAGCAGTGAAATGTTGCAACTGATCCTGAGGCTCTACTGACTTCACCACTGGGACTGAAGTAATAGGTGTGAAAGAGGGAGGGACGCGGGGGGTCTGCAGAACATCTCGTTGAAGAGTCTCTATGCAAGACACTTGTGTGTGGGATAGAGTTGCGGGGCTTGCGAACGCAGACCGAGTGGGAGACCGAGTATAATCCGGAACGTGATTCCTGAAGGGAGTCGTAGATAGCGTCGTAGATTGAAGGTACTTGGAAGATTTCCGCTGCAGGTATCTAACAGCACTATGCATACTACTGCGGGGACCAAGAGCTTTTAGACCCAAGTCATCTTTCAAGGAATGAATGTCAACATCATGGAGAAGCACCTCCCCCGTGATCACATTGTCCCGTAGAGCGGCCTCGAAGGTGACAGGATCTGGTCGCGCGACAACCGAGGAAGAGAGAGACCATGGTGCGTCAGGATTATGGCACAGAAACTGTACCACCTCGTCAACTGTCCAGTCGAGGGGATCCCCGCCAGGCTCCATTTCCGTGGGTGATCTGCAGGTACCGGATTAGATTCGATGCCACGTGATTTTCACCGTACTCGAGAAGAAGCTACTTACTAACTCATGCAAGTTGACCAGAACCAATGAAGCGAAAGAGTATCATGATTTTGGTAAATAACAGAGAGCTGTAAGAGGTGATGGAAGGTGAGAAGTGGGCAAGAGTCTATTTAGTGACAAGTAGAAGCGGGTTTGTCGATATCCGCCAGGCGATAGGGTTGTGTACGAAGATGAAAGGTGGAGGCGGACAAGGAGGAAAATGCAGGAGTTCTGGAACAACAGAATCCGCTAGAGAAGTTGTATCGGTGAAGGGCTAATTATTTGATCTTCAGCCCTGTGAATGGGAGAATGAGACGGTTGCACGGAGTACACCAGGGATTGAAAGTTACCTGGGACGTTAGTAGAGCAAAAGGTAAGGTATACGTGAAAGGCAAGTGGGGATACTGTAAAAAAAGAAACAAGATGGACAGGAACGCGTTAATTCGCCATCCAGGGACCTTTTGAATTCTGCCACTAGCAACAAGCGGTGTATAAGGCGGAACAGTGGCCTGATAAGAAATAGTGCACGTAGTTAATGTACTGTAAGTAGGAGTGCGGACCGCATCTTATACTTCCTGATTCCTGATTCTCCTCTATCATGCCAGCTCTAATCACGTCTCGCTAGATCTCAACTCATGCATGCAAAAAGGTCGCTGGGCAAGGATGATTCTGTATAGGCTGTAATGAATGGCTTCAGATACGCTCACTGAGCTTTGAGTCTTAATAGGGTCTAAATAGTTCTCCGCAAGTATATGGCCTGCTTCGAGCCATGAACTATATGGGTATGGCGGGCAGAGTACCAAACTTGGATCAGCCTCCTGTGATAATGGCCAGCATGCTTGTATATCTCTACGGCATGCGCCAAAGACAGACGGTTCTGTTGTCGAAACCTCGATGACCTCGGCGCCTAGCTTGGTCTACCGCTTGCAACTCCCTCCTCGACCGGTCGACAGCTACGCATCCACTGGCCATAGTTCCGTTCTACATGAATATCTATCTTCGCAATAGCCTCACTGCATTCCTTAACATCTGTTGAGGCCTGGAATATACTCACCATTAGTATACCGGCTCATTTCGGCTTTCGTGACACGCTTCCCCTAATGTTCACGCAAGGCACCATGATCAAGTCAACTCAACCTCATTGAATCTTTGCAAACTACCATCCTCGTTACTCGCAACCTCGAGGCAATATCTACTCGGAGGATCAAGAAGTCAAGACCAGAGAGGGTATTGAAAGCTCAGAGTGAATCACACTATTGGCAAACTACGAAGATGTCCAGGTCACCTCACCCATAAAGACCATTTTTCATTATGAAGAAAGAAGCTATCATGAGACAACTTTTGGGCGACTACACACTTCTTCTCTTTTCTCCTCTCCTCCGAATACTCATGAAAACTTCATCTCCTCAATCCAGTTTCGATCAATTTCCTTCCTTCGAAACGGTTCCGACTTTCCCTCCGTTTACTTCATCATCTTTTTGATTTTTATCGAAAGCAGAAGGCTGAAGGGCTGAAGAGGCAAAAGCGTCAGAGCACGGATCATGACCAAATGGCCAACAGCCAATTGAGCGCAATCAGAAAAGAGCGAACATACCGAACACCGAAGACAGAAAACAAAAGGCAGAATCTAAATGGAAAGATGGATGGCGAGATAAATCGACCTGCCGATCTGCTATGAGAGTCAAGTCAGCGATATGAAGCGGAGGGTCACTTTGTTTGACATTCATACTAACATTTCTCAGATTCCCAGAAACTGAAGACGCTGCTTGCGCCCTTTCCGACCATCAAGGCTGACATCAAATGTCAAACTCTCCGTCGCCCATTTCCCGGTACAATGTACTCAGGCGCCACGGCTCACGGTCATGATATTCCTGCATGATCTTGTCAAAGAGGCTCTCTGTAGGCTGAGTCTTTGACTCGAAGTCAAACTTTGACTCGTAGTCAAATGAGTCGAACCCCCAAGTCCAGTCCTCGATGTCGACGATGCTTGACACCTGCGCATCTGCAGTCAATTCAGTGCCCTCTGAAAGTGGTGCCCATCTGGCACGAAGCGCGATCTTTTCTTCCTCAAAGAGAGGCATCCCAAAAGAGGCAAAGTCATCCGTCTGAGCCCACTGAAACTCATCTTTGATATCTAACTCGGTATCATACGGATGGCACAAAGGCTCTAAGAGAAAGACAAGGGTCGTTAGCTCAATGCTACCAATGTGACCCGAGACACATCTGCGTTCAAGGTACGAAATCGACACAGGGCCTGGCTAAACTCACCGATCCATGCACGCTCCTCCACAACAAGCTCAGGAGCTTGCTTGTTGGCAGATGTCGAGACTGGGATTTCAGTCCTATGGACGTCCGATTTGTTCTTTTGCGAGTGTTTGGAGATTTTCTTTGCCAGCTTCTTGCCCTGATACAATGCTGGAAGGGGAATTCTGCCGCCAGCTTCTCCTAGGACTGGGTTGATCAAGCCTGGAGTAAGGCCACGAGTGGTGTTGAGGGCGAGGCGGATGCCTGCGGCCTCCAATTTCTCCTCGATTTCCTTACCCAGAGCAATGCTCTTCTTGTTTCCGGAGTCCCAGGCACACAGGGAGAACGCTTGACGAAATCGGACGCCTCTTTGCTGGAGGGCATTGGGCTTAACAGTGTGGCCCTTGGGCATTCTGTCGAGGATGTCCTCAAGTCGAATGCGGCGGTCCAATCGGACCCACGCCTCCACCCGAAACTCCTCAACATCCGTGGGGATTTGGTCAGGCAGCACAGGAATATCTTTCAAGTACTTTCCGTTGATCGGATATGTTTTCTTCCCTATCTTGGCCTTGCTCTTGGACCCGACGGGATGGAGTTGATACAAGATGTCGGGGAGATTGTCCCATGACCAATCCTCTTGCTCAGCAAGGGTGTGTTCTGGCACAGAGCTTGCATCTCCGCAAGCAACCTGTGATGCTGGTGTTCCTATTGTCGTCAGCGGCCAGCCTTGCCTGCAGAGCCATGGCCATACCTTCGTTGGGTTGGTTGATTCCCTGGACGTTGAACATCTGGTCGGTCCGCAGGGCCACGGGCATACCTTGATTGAGTTGATTGATTCCACTGACGTTGAACGTCTGGCTTGTCCCTAGGGCCATGGGAATACCTTGGGTGGTTTGGTTATTTCCCTTGACGTTGAAGGTCTGGCTCAATCCCAGTGGCACATTCATTCTGACGAGGGAGCTACTAGGGTCTTAGCACAAGCTGCGCAACCCTGCGAGGAACTTTCGATAGAGAGGGTGCTCGAGTAAAGACAAGAACAAGAAGGTGAGATTTTATGAGAAAGAGGAGCCAATTTGAAGCCGAATGAAGTTGAGGGCTTTCACGAGAACGGAGTTGATGTGAGATACGAAGACAGTATTGGTCGAGAATTGTTGAGAATAGAGAGCAGACAAGGATGAAGATAGATATTCTGAGTTGGAACACCTCGTCTGTCGGTGACTCGTTTATGGGGGGCTGGGACTTGGGGCTTCAATTGGGGTAGATGTTTCAGAAGTCTCAATGAAATGTGAATAGGGCTCTCTAGCTTACTCGCGAAATGCGCTCGCTTCACTCAGAGTCTCTTGTCAACGCGATATCATTGCTCGCAAAATCATTGACAGTCAATGTACTGCTGGACAATGTATGAATTGCGCGTTCACTAAGATGCTGGCTCGGAGAAGGGTGCATTGCTATGAGAGCTATTATACAGAAAGGCAAGTATACAACTTTCTTCTGCTGCGAAACCAGAGCAACGGGCGGTAGCCGTGAGGTGTCAACCTCTTTCGAAAGCCCAGTCACGCACATATTGTGACCAAGTGATGCCCTGTGAGAACTCCTAGGTCTTATTTGGAGCGGGCGAATAAGCTTGTGAGAAGTCTTGACAATAGCTATATCTACCAGGTGATTCTATTCTTCCTCTATGGACCCGCATGTGGATCCAGACACAAAAAAAGCCGGGGAAAGCTTCAGACAATAAGCTTTGCAGTTTGTACTGTGTACTAGAGGTCTCTCTTTGTCCCAAGGGACCCACCTTATGAAATCGAGTGGCTGGGAATTGCCACTGTATTCAAAAGTTATCCCACCCTCTTGTGCTTTAGAACTTTGGAGTAGGTCTTATCAAAGTTTGCCTAGCTAATCTATAGTAGGCGGTTGAGCTGCTCTAGGCGATTTCGAATGTGCTTCCAATTAGTTGTGACAATATCACCCGGAAGAGGCCGAGCACCTCAAAGCTGTGTATCCCCTATCTTTGATGATTATCCTCACTACTATTAACATGATAAGCTTCTTTTGTTATTGCACATAGCTTAACAATAACTAAATCTTATTTCTTTCTAGCGTATGGTGTCATCAACACACCAGAGTAACACCAGTTACGTCATCGACTGTTACCTTCCATAACTCTGGATTTGCTTTCATGATGATTTGACACTGAACTTGTTAGAGAAAAACTGCTTAGCGGTCAAGGAGTTGTAGTAAGAATAGTGTGTGGTCTTGAAGAACCTGATATTGACTCGTGTCCTGTAGTCGGACTAGAAGTATACAGCAACCAATAACAGGATGAGCCAAGACAAATTCCCGATACTTAAGATAGTGCTTTCTTCCCTTCCCACTGCATCAATCAGTCAAAACAAGATCAGCACTTCCAGTGTTCATTCAAGCGTACTATACTACGCTTAAAAATTGCTATATTATGTTTCTGTCTGGTTCGATTCTCCAAGAAGTCAATCAATCATTCCATTTCAAATATGACTACACCCCCTATCCTCCGTCTGATTCCGGCCGTAACCCCGAAGTCCCGTGTCGCATCTCAACTCCCCAGGCGGTACAGTCTTCAGATAACCTGCAACGTGAAGCCGAACGCTTCCAACAACCGGGAAGGCATTGTCGACATAAGTGCAGACCGGGTTTCTGTATGCGTCGCCGCAGTGCCCCGGAACGGCGAGGCAAATGCAGCTGTATCTCGCATTGTCGCACAAGTAATTGCCCCTTCGGATTCTTCCATTTCTTTGTTTCTGTGGTCCCTCGTAGCATAGACAGTACCGTCCTTGATCTAGCTGATACCAACTAACAAGCTCAGGCGTTTAAAGTGCCCAAGTCAGACGTGGAAGTAATCCGGGGGCTCAAGTCGCGCGACAAGATCCTCAGCATCGCTAATCTGGAGATCAGATCCCAGTCCGAAGCCGATTTCATTCAACAGGCGCATGAGAGGCTGAGAAAGGCATTGATCTGATCGCTCTTCAGATCTGGTTATTGGGTTATCTTCGACCGATAGCTGCTGCCAGACACATAGCGGGAACGGCGGTCGCGCCCGTGACATCACGGAAGACGGGAAACTCCCCGACTTTTTTTCATCCTCCGATTGTACCGCAGTTCAACAGTCTCTACCGAACCTACTTTCCACGAAAAGGAAACCAGAGTTATCCTTATAATTAGCTTAATACCAGGATCACTCTCAACATCAGTCGAAATGTCCACCACGTCACAATCTCACCCAGCAGAACCAGAGAGCGCGAAGCGCAAAGCCCCGACCGAGCAAACCTCCTCCACACCCACCTTGACATTCACCACGCGCAATCCCCTCTGGACCTACCTCAAACTCCAATTGTATGCTCCTTTCTGCTCTCTCTCCTGTATTATGAACTTCATTCATCAATTGTATCACAGAACGCATCAGCCTCCCGTCTCCCAATCAACCCTCACCCAACCACTCGACCCTCTCACAGCGCGCACCTACCTCTCCGCCGCACTCAACCAATTCCTCGGGCTTTCTGGCACGGCCATTTCGATTGATATATTGAAGATCGAACCTTCCACTGGCACAAATGCCAAGACAATTTGGATTCGAGTCCCCGCACCGGATGCATCAGCCGTCGTCGCAGCGTTGAGTTCGTGGGTCGGGGGTAGCAGTTTGTCGGGCGATGCGAATGGCGCTGGCAATGTTGCCTGGCGGGTTTGTGCCAAGGGAAACTTCCTCCAGGCCCTGGTGAATGGTTCCGGCGCAGAGATGTTCGTTCCGTGAGTGCCTGGAATTGGTATAGCTTTCTTTTGAATTGATTGGGCCGTTCATCTGAGGAGAGGTCTGAACCATCGACTCGATGCTGGACTGCGCATGTTATGCGTTACCTGCCCAGATGCTGCGGAAGCGTGCTCGGCGACTGAGGCCGCGGTCATTCCGTTTACTGGAGCTGCATCCGTGTTCTACACCAACTACCCGGCCATCTCTGGGGTTTGCCTGGGTCCCATACACACAGCGGTTCCGGCACGATGCCTAGCGAATGGATATTGAATGGTTGCGTGGTGGGTGAATTGGTGATAAACATGCAACAGCCCTCCTTCTGCCGGACGGACTCGGCTCTATGTAACAATAGGCAAACGGTTGTGGTGGACGTTTGGTAGATTTGTTGAGGAGCAGTTTGTCTTGGTTGGAGGAATCGACTCGAGCCGAGGTGTATATAGCTCACTTGCTCCGTTAGTTGCTCAGGAGATTGAGAAATATGGTGCGATTATAGACGCCGGCATAAGACTTACTAGACAGCCTGTATCTACTGCTTCCTTCCCTCTCCGGGCTCAAGATGAACCCCAGCATATCCTCTGATCTTCTATACCTGTAAGACTACCTAGTAGCTTGTAAGATAGACGGATATCCCACCAGCCTTCAATTGATAGGGTTTACTTTCGCTGCACAAGACTCACTACAACCACACGACTGTATATATACACGTACTGTGAGCTACAAGCCAAGCCTTTACTTGAAGCCATAACTAACGAGTCTTATCGCGCAACTGATAATACTCTGAAGACGCAGCAAGATACCCCGTCCCCTGCATTGACTGCGCACAGCCCGTAGGTGAGAGTCAGTGTAACCCGGTGCTTTGTCCATTGCCCCCAGCCAAGTTGACTGCTGGCCTTATTCGCCCCCTCAACCTGCGACATGTCACGTTAACACCTTCTAATAGTAAGTGACTTAGCAACGCTCGTTTTCCAGGTTTCTCTCGGAATTAAGTATCTTGATCAGCCTTGCGAACACTGATACTTCGTACATACGCACGATTCCCCATTCTGCGGAAGGCTACTACTGTACCATAATCTAGTTGTATTACGAAAGGTCTGTTCTTCGCGGAATGCATACCATTCCACAACATTACAGTCCCTGAAAGAAAGGTCAAAGAGCCGACAAATACACCCTAACTATCGAACCGAGACCTCGAAACATGAAACAAAACAGCACAACGTGACTGTCATATTTGCAGGGTGTGTGTGGTGTGTGGTGTGGTAAGTTAATTAAACTATCCAGGGAGACTTGGCAAGGAGAGCCCAAGAAAAAGAAGGGGGGGGGAAAGGGAAAATCAGGGGCTGATGTGCTGTAAGTGACTGACGCCCGAAGCCTGACATGGGCATGGGCATGGGCTTACCAACGAGAACGGCGCAAGCCACTTCATGCAGGCTTACGGGATGATGAAACGGATGTTTGATGTGGGTGAGAGGATAGTTGATTTGATCTATCATTATCTCGCCTCAGACTCTCTCATACAGAGTAAGGTGTGATACGGAGTAGACTTTCTTTCAGATCTTCCAAGACGCAATAGTACCAGACAGACGGAACCCTTGAGATGCAGCAGAGATCAGTACTTGACCAACCTACCTGGTACATACAGTCAACGAACGCATTGGTCGTCCTCCGAGCCAATTCCCCATGAACGCTAGATGCTACTATTTTTAAGGGTCCCGGACTCAACTCTCGGAGTACACCGTATCGAAGTTATTGCCAAGGGCGTGTTATTATTGGACCGATGCAGCTCGGTTTCATTGTCTACCTGTAGGAGGGAACCTATTTTCGGGGAAATATTACGAGGCTTGCCCCTGCATGCAGGAATGGAGGGATGACAGCCAACCCAGCAAACTTCAAGCCATGGCTGCGGGTTCGGGTTGTTTTTGCCGCCACTCCCGATGAATGCCTTTCCAGAGGGCTGAAGATGGTGGAAATATGAGCTAGAGCACTTGGGTTCCTGCGAATATGTAAGTCTGTGGCACAGGGAATTCTGAGAATTCCTCGGTGCACAACGAGAATAGTGACAGGACGGACGAAGGAGGCGCAGGGGACGGGAAGCAGAAGAATTGAATTGGCCAGCCCGCCAGTGAGCCAGTGTTTCAAAAACCCGACGGTCTGGCCTTTTGACAACCAACAAATCAACAAATCACACCGAGCAGCGCGATGGGGCGGCAGTAGCCGTTCTGAACCTGTGAACGGATGTGACGTTTTGGCCCGCGTGGCGTGGGCGAGCCAACTGGCAAATCTCCCAATGGCCACCAAAATCTACTTGAGTACCTCCGGCCAGATGCCGATCGCCCTCGCCAATGCCCCGCCCCGTTCCAACTGTTGTCACGGAACTTCTTCTTGAGTCTGTGGGAACTTCTTCCATTGACTTTTTGTTTATTTGCATCGGCAGTGGCTGTACAGCAATAAAAGAGGAGACAGGATACGCGGTACAGTCCCCGTATTGTACGAGTACGCAAGTCGTACACGTACTTGACTGACTGACACTTCTTCTCGCCCATGGTCCAGAATACACCCTATTTGCGTTTGTTTCTTCCTATAATATTTTTTCTTTGCTCCAGACGAGAGCCAATGTGTGATCAACGCTTAAATTTAGTACTTGAGTAGTTCCTCAACTCATATTAAGCGTCGATTCAGCTCCAAACCCCCTCCCCAGATTTCGTTTCTAAATCTTCTTCCTTCTTCTCACTCCTGACTTCGTCAATCTTCGGAGTGGTATCCTTACTCCATCCCTCGCTATTAATTCCCATAGTCAATTCAACTAGTTGACTAGTCTCCTGATTTCGGTTTCTCTGTGGAGCCAATTCGTCGGTCGTCTCCCAAGGCAGGTCCTTTGTGTGCGAGCCGTATAATTCCTACTGTTCACCGTCTTTGTTCCTCCCATTATTCTCTACTACACACTATCGTGCATCGCCTCCAGCAACCATGTCGGAAGAAGCAGGACACCAGGAGCAGCCTCCTATCGCGCCGGTCCAAACTGCAAAGAATGAACCCTCCGCCAATGTACAAGAGAAAACATTCCGGCCCGGCCGCTTAACGCCACGCCCCAGCTTCCTGGAAAATCTCGCCAATTCCCGTGACAGACAATTCATGCTTGACCGACGCAATTCGAGTGAACTCAATCGATATTTTGTATGTCATCGATGCAGTGATGGACTACCTCTGACCCGTGGGAAGCTGGGAAGCTAACTGCAGTGTATATATAGCATGGCCCCCGTGATCTCGACAGACACTCCAAATGGCCCCTCGCCTTCCGGATGCACGGCAGTATCATGCCCAAAATGATCCTTCCCCTGTTTCTGGTTGCCCTGTGGGCTACTGCTATCACCTGCATCTCCCGTTTCGTACATTCTCGTGAGTTCGCCCTGTTAATGTGCTGAAAGAGCGTCTCTAATAGTTGGGTGATTAGTTGGCATCAATAGTATTCTGCTTACAATCACCGGTTTCGTGGTCAGTTTGGCGCTTTCATTCCGCAGTTCTACCGCCTATGAGAGGTAAGTTGTGGCCAATTGGATCTCGGTTCAACAGTACAAGTCTAACATCATGGCAGATGGGCGGACGGACGCAAATACTGGGCACTGCTGATCCAGACCTCCCGCAACCTCGCACGGACAATCTGGGTAAACACAGCTGAGCGCGAGGGAGAACTAGGAAAAGAGGATCTGCTGGCGAAGCTGTATGCTGCCCGGGTTACAAAGTCAAGAATGCATATGCTAACATTAGTAGGACGGCCTTCAACCTCATCCTTGCCTTTGCCGTCGCCCTCAAACATAAGCTGCGTTTCGAGCCTGATGTCGGCTACGAAGATCTGGCAGGCCTGATTGGTCACCTTGACACCTTCGCCAAAGAGGCACACGACCGTCAAGTCCTGCAGCCCCCGAAGAAGTCTGTCTGGAAGGAGATCGGCGAATCTCTGGGAGTTTCGTTTGCAGAGTCCAACCCACGCAAGCTCATCAAGCGGTCCAAGAAGCCTTTGGGACACCTGCCGCTGGAGATCCTGAACCACCTGTCCGCCTACATCGACCGCTGCATTGGCAACGGAACCTTGACCTGCGGTCTTCACCAAAGTCAAGCCAGTACGCTTTCCCGCCTTTTTTGTGATTTTATGCTTTCATGCTAATACCCTGCAAGTCAACGGTATCTCTAGCTTGAACGAATGTCTTACCGGAACGGAGCGTGTCCTCGATACCCCTCTTCCCGCCGCATACACCATCTCTATCGCCCAGATCTCCTGGATCTATGTCATGGTTCTTCCCTTCCAGATGTACAACTACCTGGGCTGGATCACCATTCCCGGCTCTATTGGTGTGTACTGATGCTATTTTGCCTACATCGAAAACTCTACTAACTCACAACTTCAGTCGCCGCATACATCATCCTCGGCCTTGCCTTCATCGGCAGCGAAATCGAGAACCCCTTCGGACACGACGTCAATGATCTGCCCCTGGAGACCTACTGCCGCCAACTCGCCAACGAGCTCGACATCATCTCCGCCATGCCCCCGCCCAAGTTGGACGAGTTTGGTGTCCGCGAGGATAACTTTGTGCTCTTCCCTCTGAGCACCTCCGGCTACAACGAGTGGAAGGAACGCTCCGTCGACGAGATCCGCGCCGCCCTGCGGTCGAAAGTCGTCGCCAACACGGACCCAGCAGGGTCGGAGACGACGACCATGGTCGGAAGTATGAGCAGCAAGCAGTCGTCGGTTTGAGAGTTGTCGTGACCGTGCAAGATTATGATAGAAGAATTTGAAATTTGGGGGGATAATGTGCATCCGTCACTGCAATGAGGGGTGACCAAAATTTGGAATCGGGCGTCTTCGTTTTTTCGAGCATGCGAGTCTGGTGTTAATTGTCGTTGGGCAAGGGTTGCCTCATAAATGATGGATGGACGGGTTAGATGTCTGTATGGATTGGCTTGTCTTCGGGTTTATTTTTGTTCCATGTTCGGGATTAAGAGTTGTATCGGTTCATCTATATGTGTAGATGGTGGCTATAGGCAAAAAATGGGGTCAATATACTCTCAATTCGCTCACATATCCGAGTTTGTATCACTCGGTCTGCATACTGGCTAGGTCGCTATCTCTTGGGAAACTGTTCTCTTATCCGACTCAGTACACCCTGATGGAAAGGGTGGATCTGTGCACAGTCGCTCTACTACCGTACTTGCACGTGTGGGTGGAGTCCAAGTCTAGTGCGCTCGAATATATCCCCACCGACCCCAGCCAATCCATCAGATATGACATACAAATACAGTATCGCAGTTCTGATGGCCCATGCGCTGCACCCTGGGACCGACCTCATACATACAGCCCGGATGGGAAGATTGACATGCGCACTGCATATATACCAGGCAAGTCAAGCTGCAGAACATAGTATTCCACTGCCATCCATCTCAACCCGCGCCTACCCACCCTCCACCTATCGCCCCCGCCATCATCCACCATCACCCCAGAAGTCCCTTACACGTTCAAACCCGCTGTGTTTCCCTGTTTTCCCCTCCACAGCTACCAGTCACTGATAATAACGGTAACTAACCATCCATAACTAGTACCATGCAATCTCACCTGAACAACAGAGTACTAGGTATAACTGCCAGAACCCCAATTGAGCCGAACACACCCACAGCTGACCTCCTGCATCGATAACTGGAGGCCGCCCGCTTCACCCAGGTACTGTACCTTGCCTACCGCCCACCTTGCCCTTGCCCGTGCCCGTCAAGGTCTAACAGACCCCGAGCGTGAGCACAACACTTTTTCACTATAACAGGGGGCCCAGAGCGGATATCTTCCCCCCTCATGGTGATGGGGTGGGCTTTCTTGGTGACTTTCCCCCTTTCCGTACGGCTGGGTAACGCGCTGGACTTGGGTCTCACTTGGTATATCGTTGAGCATGGTTGGCTGGGTAGGGCAGGTAGGTCCCTTCAAATTGACGATAGTCACGTGTGACTTGCAGAGAGAGAGAGAGAGAGAGTGTGTGTGTGTGTGTGTGTTTGTGTGTGTGTATGTGTGCTTCTACATCGGCGTTCATTCCACCGAGGAGCGTCGATTTAAGGTGCTGATCCCTTTTATCCAGGGTGCTATCGAGGACCGGAAAAGCCTGAATCCAAGCGTGGAAATGTCGACGGGTTTGCGGGGTAACTAGTTCGATCTGAAGCGACTCTTACCGAGGGAGGAATAAGTTGAGTATATGTGTGCCCGAGTTTCTCCAGGATTGATCTCGAGCTATTGCTATCTTCCACTGTCGTGGGCGTATCCCTGTCTTTTTATTTATTGATTTTGGATATCACAGTCTTCGAATTACACTCTATCTACGATCGGAATCATGGCTCCATCGGTGACTGCAGCGGACCCTAAACCCGAGGCGAACAAACCCGGCAAGAGATCCGACATTCCACCGCAGCTACAGGTCCTCGGTAAGACCAAGGATGGCAGGAATCTGAAAGTGCGCCGATACCCCAAATTCCAGAGCCTGGAGGACGAGCGAGTATACCGGAAGCAGCACCTGGCAGCGGCGTTTCGTCTTTTTGCGGATCGTGGCTTCGACGAGGGTGTGGCGGGCCACATCTCCGTCCGAGATCCTATTCTCACCGATCATTTCTGTAAGCTTTGAGGACCACTTCCCCCGGCTTGAAATTTAGTTTGTGAGTATGTGTCTTAGACTGCTAACGCGTTCGGACCTCGCCGTAGGGATCAACCCCCTCTCCGCACACTTCTCTCTCATCAAAGTCTCCGACCTGATACTGGTGGACGAGGATGGCTTGGTGGTCGAAGGCGATGAGCCCATCAACGCCCCCGCGTTCGCCATTCACTCGGAGATCCACAAAGCCCGACCGGATGTGAACGCCGCGTGCCATGCCCACAGCGTCGCGGGCAAGGCCTTTTCGTGCTTTGGCCGCGAGCTGGAGATGATCACGCAGGACGCACTGCGTTTCTACAAGAGCCATGGCGTCTACCGGGACTTCAAGGGCGTGGTTCTAGACCGGGAGGAGGGACAGCGGATTGTTGCCGCTTTAGGTGGGGGAAAAGCGGTGATTCTGCAGAACCATGGCCTGCTGACGGTGGGGGAGAGTGTCGATGAAGCGGCATTCTGGTTTATCAGTCTGGACAAAACCTGCCAGGCTCAACTCCTGGCCGATGCGGCATCCGCAGCGGGGTACGAGAAGATCATTATTGACGAAGAGGAGGCTTCTTATGCGGCCTTGCAGGTTGGGGGGCCGGAGAAAGGATGGTTGGCTTTTCAACCTTACTATGATGAGCAGGTTGCGAAAACGAAGGGCGAATTCCTTCTGTGAAGTGATTCGGATCATATGACGAGCCAGGGATGGTTGGCGGTTGGGCGCGAAAAATCCCGGACTATGAATCCATGCTGGAGTATGGTCCACTTTCCAAGCCTATTGATCAGGAGGAAGCTGGTCGAAGAGCCACCAATCCATCATGATCACCTCCAATGGTGCAAAGGATTCAGGGGGGCAATCCTTGCTTTCGATGATCAGCTTTCATTCATTGATAATGACATTGGGATGAGCCATTTTCCAACTTTTGTCAAGGAGAAAAAAAGAGTATCGCAAGTTGAAGCTGTGGTCAACAAAAGCAATTCCGTGGTACTCCGTCCGAAATTGCTGTAAAGGTTGATCGGAGAGATCAATAAAGTCTATATATATAAAGTCGTATGCTAATCCGAGCAGTGCCGGTAGATCCTTCTTGGAGACTGCGCTCTTGCTTTTCCGACGTCATGATCTAGCCCGGTTCCACGAGGGTGGTTAAGGTTAGGGTCCGAGAACGGTATACCGTTGGATTTGACCCAACTTTGAGACCAGATCCTTCATTCTACTCGTACACATACATGTACAGAGATCGCTAGTGGTTTGTCGTACTCGTAGTGGCGCGAGATCGCCATCCACGAGCCAGAGCCGAGGAAACCCCATTAAGAAGAATGTTGAATGGGTGATCGACCGGGCAGCAGCACGCCCCACCCGCAGGGTGAACTCTTGCCGGGAACGGAAAGACTGAATAATCAGAATCTGGTGCTGCAGCTTGGGAGTACTTCCATCGAGTCAATCTGCACCTGATAGTCTATTACTCCAACTGCATGGCGAGAAGGCAGCCTGATGCTGATATAGGTAGTCGAATAGGGGGCATAGGTGCTGGTGCCACAATGAACCTACCCTGGTGGAGGATCTGTCTGCCGAAATTTGTAAATTCGATCACCAGTGCAGAATGCAAGCTGATCAGCGCCGTGCTGATACATCTATAGTATGGTGTCACACCTGAGCTGACAATCAAACAATGTGCACTCATCCTGAAACCGAGGTTTGAAGCTAGCTCTCGTGTTTCGGAAGTAGTTGATGCCTTCGAAGACAAAAATAGCCCTTCTCAAGGGTTACTGCAAACAGACAATGCACGAGAGAGCTCAGCCGTCTCTGTGAGCGCAGTGGACACGCGTAGAGTCAGGCAGGGTTATCGCAAACACTGCTGGGGCCATCCGCCCAAAGCGTTCGCCAGTTCAAGCGGCTGGTAATCGGCAGCTGTATCCTCCTCGGATGAGCGGACGGGTACTCTTCCACCGTGTAGGTACCGTGCCGGCCTGCGATTGAAGCATCCAACCTACAAGAGTGTGGCGTGACCTCCATGGTTCGACCGCTCCCGATGGTTCGATAAAGCTTATCGCGGTGGCTGTCGGCACTCTCTGTCAGAGATTGCCGGACGACTGCAGGGCCGATGAAAACTCCCATTTGACTAAATTCAGGGAAGGAATCAAGAGACATATCTGTCATAGCTAATGTCAAAAATTTGTCATAGCGACCGAGTGGTAAGACTGCCAGCTGTGCCGCAGGGCCAGGTCCTCAGAATTTCGGGGTTTGCACTATTTCACAGGGCTAGATGATCATTGAGGTTAAGAACTTTAAAGCAGGCTGCGGCCCATGATTGTCACAGCCGAGTATCTGATGGAGTAATGTGCTCCACTTGTGCTCTGATCGGTAACCCGTTTTAGAATCCCATCTTTAGCCCCTTCAGGCAGGGTGGATCTCATGCCAGAGGAGTTCGTACTGTCGCTGCGTTTGTCTGCGAGTATCTACTCATACTACTCGGGTAGTATATGTTTGACCTTGTTGTAGAAGGATCAGTGCTGCGTTCGCACCTGTTCAGTGCCAAGTCTAGTTTCGAAGTCTTCTTTCGTACTATTCAATTGGCAATCTCAGGGGGGACGATCTTCTCTCAGCTGGAATGGAGAACCATGTTTTGTGGGGAGTAGACTTGACAGAATCAATGGGATGACAAGGTCTTTTCTGCATAGTGGGATGCAGGATGCAGGATGCAGGAACGAGTAAGTGCATGCCATGAGGATGGCAGCACAATTGCCGATGGCAGATGCAACGTCAGCAGCAGGAAGCACGTGTATAGTGAGTACTAAGTAGTTACTCGGTAGTAGGACTGGGTAGTAGTGAAGGTACTGTACTGTATTCCGTACCGAGGAGATTGTTGTATGCATGCCGCGGGGCAACCCTTTCCCCATCCGGAATCTGTCTCGAGCGCCACCAGACTTGGCCATTCTCCCTCCCTCCCGCCGGCGAAGTCACTCCACTACCTAGTCTAGTAACTTCCACTAATTCCCGCTTAAGTGAGGAGACACCACGAGCTCATCTTCAATGTGGATTATGGATTGATTGTGTGGAGCACTATTCCATCCCTTCCTCCTCCATTTCCTCCATCTCCTCCATCACATCGGATTTCACATCCACCAGCTTGTCTCCTGAGAATTGCCCTCGACCATATTTTCAAATTACCTACTCACTCTAGTTGGAGGCTGACGGATTCTCGTTGGAGAACCGCTTTGAACAGCCAGCAAATGATTCTCTGCCCGCAAACCCGCAAATTTCAGGTCAGTTCTTGACTATGGGTGAATAGACTTTGGCACCCTGGTTCAAGCTGACCATCTAGACTTGGGCCGGTGATTAATGGCTCACTCGCTACAAGCATTAGATCGATTCCGCCGGCATGTGGAGCAGAATGTGAACGACGGTTCAACGGATCTGCCTGTTGCTGTCCTGTGCACCCCGTGAAACCCCCGGCGATTCTCTCTCCCAGTGGTCCCCCTCCTCGCCATTGTCTGGCCGATACTACCCCATTGTGGAGTCAGACCCACTGACTTCATTGGAGGGCCTTGACTTGTTTCTTAGCTCTTCTGGGATCGATCTGAAATTGGTTGCCCCAGCCAAAGTCAAAATGTCAAGGTGGGCTGCCTACAGGCAATTCATGGTTGGAGAAAGGGACCAGGACCTGAACCCACGGCATTTCAAAAGCTGGGAGTGGGTACCTCATTCCTGGCTATATTACATCCCCGGTCGCCCCCCTCATCGAAGCTGTCAACCAGCAAGTGGCGTCAGTGACTCGCACTCAGTCCGCCATTGCGATAGTTCTTCGCACCACGTTACCTTTTCAGTGATATCAGATCGTGATTATGGCCAATGTGATCAGCAACTATCTGTCCGGGGTTGCTGGTGGTTGTGCTTGAATTCTAACTGAACGACCGCGTGCTTGAACAACCCTTCGCTCCATCAAAGCAATTCAGCAACTGAATCCTGCTCGAACCATCATCCGAATCACCTCGTCTTAACATGCGAATTCCACCCGCCAGTGTCCTGGCGACATGGCCCACGCCTAATTATGTCGACCCTGTGACTCGTGGAAACTATGTGCTTATCGTCAGCGTTGTCCTCCTTAGCGTCGCATTCGTTGTGACCTGCCTCCGCCTCTATACGCGTTTGAGAATAACGTGCACTTTTGGTTTCGATGATATCCTCATCATTTGGGCCCTTGTGAGTACCAGGTTGCAGAACTCCCAAGACCTAGTCGCTAACAACTGTGCGCCAGGCTTTCGCAATTGGAATGTGCGCTGTAACATCTATAGCAACTGAAAACTACGGTTGGACTCGGCACATGTGGGATATTCCACCCTCTTGGCTGCCAACAGTCAACAAGCTCAATCTCGCGTTCCAAATGCTTTTCTCCTTATCGTCCAGTATCACAAAGCTTTCTTTGTTGTGGTTCTGCAAGCGTTTGCTTGGAGCCGGGAGCAAAGGTTTATATTCCTCTTACAACATTGTGCTGATAATCGGCATGGTCATCGTGGCAATATGCTGTCTTCTGTTTCTCTTCATCTCCGTCTTCCAATGCTCGTGAGTTTCCCTCCTAAACCGCTCTTATAACAAGCGCATCTTGCCGTGAATTCGTACTGATAAATTAGGCCAATACGTGCATACTGGGAAGTGGCACCCACATACCCCTTCCATTGCCTCAACGACGGTGCTGCTGTGTTCTCAGCCAGTGTCGTGAACATTTTCACTGATTTCCTCACCACTGTGCTCCCAATGCCATTGATCTGGAGTTTGAAGATGCCTACTCGACAGCGAGTTGCTGTTATCTCCATCTTTGGATTGGGAATCGTAGTTAATGTTGCTGGCTCCATCCGGACAGTCTACGTTTGGAAGAGCATGGTGGCTTCATATGATGTTACTTGGGTGGGCTGGCCTGTCCTTCTCGCTGCTTCAATAGAGATCAGCATGGGTTTGGTATGCTATCACCTCCTCGTGACTGATTCAATTCCGTCTGACCCGTTTTAGATCTGTGCTTCTGCTCCTGCGTTGAGGCCCCTTGTCACCTTCTTTCTGCCCCGTCTTCTCCAGTCCAGTCGCCGCTATGCCTCGTCTTATGGCCCCAAAAGCCTTCCACGAAAGGGGTGGTCCTCGAGTGGGCCTACCAAAGAATCAAGGATTGAAGATCGGCAATATGGCTATCAAGGAGACACCAATGTCGATCGGTTCGAGGTTCTGCGCACGGTGGAGATGGAGACATGGTCTGAGATCAAGAAGCCCGGGCATGCCGACAGCAATCAGCCCTCGTCAATCTCGAACCATATGCGGGTTGCAACACCTACACATCATGTGGAATTGAAGAACCACGGTGTAGTCTACACGTCGCCTGGTAGCGACAAATCTACTGCTTCCCTTACTCGAGACTTAAACTCGAACACCGAACGGTCGACGACCGACGATAAGAACTTTTTCTAGTTCTTCCTTCGATTCGATTAATATTCTTATCATGTCTTCATACAACAGACTTTCGTCATCACGATGATAATGCTTAACGATGGTAATCGTGTTCAACACATGTACGCATCACGTCTACGCACAGCGCTGTGTACTTCTGGCAAGATTCATTCTTTTTCTTTTTGTATACAAGAACTTATATCTACATTCTGTGTGTAACTTTATCTATAACACCCATATTGTGCGCTCGCAGTGACGAAGCGACTCCAACCTCAAATTGAGCGATGTCTATTCAAATTACTTGCAGCTGGCGAAGTACTAGAAGTGGGTCGATGGAGCAGCTCCGCAATCGGATCCCGCACTCCCCACTCTGAGTCGACTTCAGCTTGGATACCAGATTGGCCTGACCGGGCCGGCATCGCGTAGACTACCTTCTTCGGGCTAGTTACATCAACCCATGCAGGCCTCACTAAATGCGGGCATACTAACTAACGCAGGCACCAACTGTGCTTACGTGTTTCGCTTAGCAACCCTGCTTCTCGAACCTCCGCGTCGCTCTTCCCTCCGATCCTTCACTGTCGCGTGTCACAGGAACGTCGAGTAGTCGACAATCCTGTTGTATTAAAGCCCGGTCTTGGTATCGCAGTCTAGCACATACTAGCAGGGGTGTATGCACGTGTGAAACTTAAGTAGATGGCTGTCAAGGAAAGAACAATCTAGACTTCCTCGTGGACTCCGATACGATAGATTAATTCTCCGTACTCCAGGGGTTTCCATCTTCTCCCTAAACAGCAGGCCTGTGAATCACTGTATCCTCCAGCTAGCTTGATTCTTCAGAGTTTCGTGCTCTGATACACCACTGTTATGTAATTGCCCTTCGAAGTCTGATTCCTCCTGACTACTGACTATTTATTTTCAGCCCGACGCACTGCCATCTCTTATCTGACTGGAGATTACTGCTTGGTCAAATTGGCGGTAGGACAGCGTCTTCGAAGCGTGGTCAAGGCCATCATCCCGTCGGATACTAGCCTAGTGGCGTCCCCCCGTAGGCCTCGGTTTTCAAATCACCCACCCTGTTTTCTCGCCCAACGAGTCTGTCTGTCAAAAGCTCTCTTTTCTCGCCCCTTCAAATGCTTCAGGCCACGTTCTCGCAGTTCGGAAAAGAAGTTGAAGGCAGCGTCAAACGTATCGGGAGATGTCCAGCCATCTCGTTTCACAAGACCTTCTATACGGTCGAAGAACTCCTGGACCTCATTCCAGCCCTCGGCATCGACGGCGTGGCTATGTAGTTCATCTTGCATGAAATAATAGGGACATCCGCCTTGAATGCCAAGTTCTTGCCAATGTCTGAAGATAAAAGATCAGATAACCTCAAAAAAAGGAAGGTGGGACTGAAGTGATGAGATAGCTACCTTTCAACGTTGATGAGTGCCTCACGGAAAGAGACTATGTCATCATCCCATGTGTTTCCGGCCAATTCGACCGGTAGACGTCTTGTCTTCCCATGATCTAGATGGAATGCTTGGGCAAGAAGAGGGTTCCGCTCTTTCGTCTCCAGAAGATAGAGCTGGTATAGCGTCGATTTGAAGATTTTTTGCTAGATCTCCGCTTGCTGCTCTGGGTCCAGATCGTCGAAATTGCCGGGACGCTGGAGTAGAATGCTGCCTGGGTAGTCCACAATCGGGGAGGGTTGGGATTGAAGAAGGAGCGGCCCGGCCCACGAGCCTTGTCAATCGATGACAGCCGTGATACGGCCATCATCAAAAAATTAATATCGATGAATGAAGGTCTCCGTGCCATAACGTAGGGCGAGTGAGAACGGGGTCAATGCCCATCAGAGCAGGAGCCACTTGGAGATACTTCTCCAACAGCTGCAGATGTGCCTGTGGACTATTTTGGGCTGGGGAAACGAGAGTAGCTTCGCTTGATGGTTTCGAGATGGCAAACCGTTTGATCCACACCCGTTCACGCCGACCGACACTTAGCGCAGATTCTCGGGGCGTGCGCCCTGAGAGCAATTAGTACAAGAAAAAATTTGAAACGGTGATCTGAGAATGCTTACAAGGACCCCGCGGGATCTGCATCGACGAGCGTTCCTTCTTCCAAAAGCTTCGGTCGACGGTAGGCCCAATACTGAATCTCTTGCGCACTCTCTCTTTCAGTTCGGAGGAAGCGGCGTTGGTGAGCAGCGCTGGAACTGCGCTTTCCACTGCCTCGCTCGCGGAATATATACTACCAAAGCTGACGCGATGATAAGATTCCACACACGCATTTATCATTTAAACGGATTCACTTATTGAGAAAACGACACCGCAAGCATCTTTGACTCGACGTTCACTATCTCCCTCATGATGGAGAGTTTTTTATCCGGATTCAGCTGATCCCAGATGACTCCAAGCTGTGTGCCAGATGCTTCTTCCATAATGATATATTCCGAGTCAACGGCGTTCTTTGACGTGGCATTCCAATCAAGGACTCGAGGCACGGAAATTTGAAGGAAATCTCGGGCCTAGGATCAGGCATGAACTGGCCGCCCTTGCGGTTAACTTGGCTTTAAGGTGAACTTACAAGCTCCATGGTAGCAACTTCGGATGCAGTTGTATAGAACGCTGGGCCGGCAGTTGGGTTTGGTATCCGGGCAAGCACTTTCTTGCCATCATTCATGATCAAACGGAAGACCTTATTATATCCTCCTTCGGCCAACTTCGTCATGGAGAGGCAGCTGTCTGATCGAACGGCGTTAGCCGCGAGGCTTTGGAGTGCAGCAACATCAAAGACCTTATACCTGTCCCGGAGCTGCTGTTCTTCATCCCAGAGCCATCGTCCACTCGTATAACGGAAGAAGTGCTCGTTTTCAGGAGTTGGTGTTGTGGTTGGCTCGGAGAGGTCTGTGATCGTGCGGGTGGTGATGCGAAACGGAAGTGTTGTGGTCATTGATTGTGACCGCAGGGGTGCTGAAAAGAAGGCAGACGTTCGTGGTTGAAAACAATAAGCTGAACAGTTTCTCCGTTTTGGAAAAGCCGAAAGTCCATGACAGCCCATGTCAATGGGGTCGTATATGTCGGAAATATTTGGTGATAGAAGCCCGCATACTCGTCGAACCCGATGCTTGCTTCAATTGTGAAGGAACATTCAGTTCCTTATCTTGCCTGCCAAGCCGATCGATAAGAATGATCTGGGGAACTGGAAGCTGTCTCCAACTTCCACATCGTGGGCTCAGCTGCTGTTTCTCACCGCTGCAATCGTGAAGCCCTATTGCAAAGGGAAAGTCGTTCCGGGAGGAACACAGTCCGGACAGCAATCGGACCGAATGACGAGGAAATGGATAATTGATGCTACTAATAGTCGAGTGATCAGGACTGATTGTGAGTCCCATTTTATCGGCGCCTCTGCTGGATCGCCGAGCACGGGCATATCCGGGGTGGTGATTGGTGCAAATCGCCGAGGAGAGCTCTCTGGCGCGGGGCAGCTTCCGCATGAGCTGCTTCTCTCTCCGCACCGCCGTCTGCTATTTAACCAGCCGCGCCGCCAAATTTTGGAGGGGAGTTTTTGTTCTTGATTTCCAAGTGTCAATCATCTTCTTGACTGTCTATTGCAGCTTCATCTTCAATCTTTTCTGCTGATTGTCGACTATTAGGCTGGTTGGGCGATCTATCCTATCTCTCCCCTCAATCCCTTATCTGTCGTCATCGCGTTATCATCCCTCTCCACTCCGCTTTTTTGTCCTGGTTGTGCCTGGCACAAGGGATAACTATTCTACTCTTCTACCCAAACCACCCACCAAATAATCTCCCTGTATATTCACAATGGCAGCTGTCTTCCGCTCCAGCCTCAAGCTTCGCACGGCGACTCGCCTTTCGGCAGTCCGCCCCCTCAGCACCACTGCCCACTTGCGGGCTGCTGAGGAGCCATTCTTCCCCGATGAGCCCACGGCTCCCAAGTTGGCCACCGCCATTCCCGGCCCCAACAACAAGGCTGCTGCTCAGAAGCTGGATCAGGTCTTTGACGTGCGCAGCTTGAACATGCTGGCTGACTACTACAAGTCTACTGGAAACTAGTATGCCTTTGAGCCCCTCCAGGTTATCGCTTTGAATCAGGAGTTAGTAGCTAATTATCGACCGCAGCATCGCCGATACGGACGGAAACCTTCTCCTTGATGTGTAAGCTACCATACTTCCTTTGATCCTTAACCTACCACCAACATATTGATTCGCATCTAACGCGGTTCTCGGCGACAGCTACGCCCAGATTGCCTCCATCCCTGTTGGTTACAACAACCCTCACCTCCGCAAAGTGGCCGAGTCTCCCGAGATGGTCAATGCCTTGATTAACAGACCCGCACTGGGCAACTTTCCCTCTCACGACTGGGCCGACATCTTGAACACGGGCATTCTCAAGGTTGCTCCCAAGGGTCTCAATCAGGTCTTCACTGCCTTGGCTGGTTCCGATGCCAACGAGACTGCTTACAAGGCGGCTTTCATGTACTACCGCCAGCGCGAGCGTGGTGGTGCCGAGAAGGAGTTCACCGAGGAGGAGCTGCAGACTACCATGAACAACCAGTCCCCGGGGTCCCCTCAGCTGTCGATCATGTCCTTCAAGTCTGCCTTCCACGGCCGTCTCTTCGGTAGTCTGTCTACTACCCGCAGCAAGCCTATCCACAAGCTTGATATTCCTGCCTTTGACTGGCCCCAGGCTCCCTTCCCTTCGCTCAAGTACCCCTTAGAGGAGCATGCCGCGGAGAATGCTCAGGAGGAGCAGCGCTGCTTGCAGGAGGTTGAGCGCCTGATTAAGGAGTTCCACAACCCTGTGGCAGCTGTTGTGGTTGAGCCTATCCAGTCGGAGGGTGGTGACAACCACGCCTCTCCTGCTTTCTTCCAGGGTCTCCGCGACATCACCAAGCGCCACAATGTCCTGTTCATCGTTGATGAGGTGCAGACCGGCGTGGGCGCTACTGGAAAGTTCTGGGCCCATGACCACTGGAACTTGACGACTCCCCCCGATATTGTGACTTTCTCCAAGAAGGCCCAAACTGCCGGATATTACTACGGAAACCCCGCTCTGCGCCCCAACAAGCCTTACCGTCAGTTCAACACCTGGATGGGTGACCCGGCCCGTGCCCTCATCTTCCGCGGTATCACCGAGGAGATTGAGCGCCTGAACCTGGTGGAGAACACTGCGATCACTGGTGACTACCTGTTCGCCGGTCTCGAGCGTCTTGCTAAGCAGTACCCCGAGCACTTGCAGAACCTCCGTGGCAAGGGCCAGGGTACCTTCATTGCCTGGGACTCTCCCAAGCGTGATGAATTCTTGGCCAAGGCCAAGAACGTCGGCGTCAACATTGGAGGAAGCGGCCAGAGCGCCGTTCGCCTGAGGCCCATGTTGATCTTCCAGAAGCACCATGGTAAGTCAATCGGTAGCACCTGACAGGAGTAAGATGGCCGGAGGCTAACATTGTGTGCAGCTGATATCCTCTTGGAGAGCGTTGAGAAGATCATCAAGCAGCTGTAAAGCGGCTCGATTGGCGACCAACATTTCTTCTTTATCTGGGACATTTGTGATTGAAATCTGGCGTTCAGTGGTACATCAGGCGGGTCGGCAATTGATTGGGTTCATTTCTTGCGTTCTACTTGAGTCAAATTCAGCAGCGTATGAGTATGATGAGTTGATGCCTTGAATTTATGTTAGCATCGAGAAATAGCAATTGGATGCCATCAGGAAGGCAACATTGAACATTCATCTAATCGGGTATCGAGCGTTGTTTGGGGCTGATCTTCTGAACCTTTCTGAAAGCTCGTCTTTGGAAAAATAAGAATAGACGAGCAACCCCGGCGCAGTAAAAAGAAAACCAAGGGGCAAGCAACCATGTTTCCCGGAATCGCATATAGTACGAGAAAACAACCTAACCAAAACTCCAGTGTTGTGCATCCGCGCAAGGAACAAGAAAAAAAGAAGAAAGCCACCTTCCACCCAGAATTTCTAGGCCGTGCGGCCTCCGTCATTCAGCAGATATCGAAAGGAGTGGCCCCGTTCCTACGCCTCCTCTTCACCAGTACTACCATCCCTCCTATAAATAAAACCAGTCAGTAAGCTTCTTCTTCTGCTTCTGCTGCTGCCAGGACGTGTCCCAGAACGCACAAGATGGAGGGACTGTATGGCTCAACATACGGAATATACTTGATCCCCGAGTCCTCCAAGCTGGAAATAATCTCATCCGGAAGCTGCGAAAGGTTTAGTCCATGAACGACATCGGTGGTATGGGCCAGGCCCATGCGCGCCGGAAAAAAATCACTCACCGAACCGGTCACCTTGACGGCGTATGTCCCGGGGACATAGCTATCCAGCCGCTGCCACCGAGCCACCCAGCTGGTCGTGGGATCCCGGAGTGTCAGCAGGCCCTCGAAGACCTGGGATGTGCATTCTTGGATGGCGTCGTTGTTGCCGCGGAGGCCGAGGACGTTGTCGCAGTTGGGGCAGCCTTCGCGCATGAATTTCTGCATTGCGGTGGCAAAAGAATATTATGTTAGCTTTTGGATGAGGGTCATGGGTGAGGCTATGGTGTGGGAGGTAGTATGGATTGGATTGGGTTGTGGTAGTGAAAGAGAAAGCTGGTTTGGGGAGTTGGGTTTTCGACTCACGCTGTGGAGTTGGACGAGAGAGCAGACCATGCAAGCGCGGAGAGTGCGCTGCTGGCTGGGCGCGACGTAGTAGGACATGTTTCCTTTGGTTGGAAGTTGTGCGGTTGGTTGATTGGTTGTTTGGTTTGGAGGTTGAGGAGGTCAACGGAGTGTCGCTGAGCTGGACTCCGGCCAGAGGTGCGTGCCCTTTACGTGTGTTTTTTTGTTTCTTTGTTGCGAGGGTGGAATGCTGGGCTGGATCGAAGGCTGGTACGCTGTGGAGGGAGCCGCGACAGGGTTGGATGCTTTGCTGGGGAGGGGACAATAGGATTGATAGAGCAGAATCAATGGCGATAATGGAGGAATTCAAGGTTGAGTAAAAGGCCCGGTGGTGGTCGCAGGTTCTCGAATCAGACCGGGAGGGTTGCCAAGACCGGAGAAAACGGGCGGACATCAAATAAATCCTCGGAAGTGCTTCATGGCGGCTGATTGATTGATTGATTGACTGGCTGTTCACAGCTTTGCCAGAGATCAAAGATCTTTTATCAGTTGAGATTGCTCCTGGTCTTATTTCATTCTCTTACATTGTTATCTATTTGGGCACTGGCCGTGACTCATTACTGTCCCCTTTGGTGTCGGGCTCACTGCATCATCATCATCATCGTCGCCTCTCTAGTTCTCTCTCGCTCCCTTCAATTCTCCCCGCCTCTTCCCTTACAATTAATTTGTTCCCGCGTGCTCACCTGCCGAAAACCTCCCCCTTGCCATCCGCCTCATTTTTACCAGGCCACTTGCTATCCACACTCTCCTCTCACTTTACCAACACCTTATTATCCTTCCGATGGCGTCCTCCGATCTTGAGGCTGCCACTGCGCTGAAGGCGCAGGGGAACAAGGCGTTCGCGCAACATGAATGGCCCGCCGCCATCGACTTCTACACACAGGCGATAGAGAAGTACGACAAGGAACCCACCTTCTTCAGCAACAGAGCTCAGGTATGTCGCGCTGCTGTCCCCGGCAGTCTCGCCAGTTCCTCCCCGATCTCCCTCCCTAATGTGGCGGTTTCCTGTATACTGATACTTTGGCTGGGTGGCGTTCGGGAGATCTAGGCGCATATCAAGCTTGAAGCGTACGGATTTGCGATTGCAGATGCCACCAAGGCACTGGAGCTCGACCCCAACTTCATCAAGGTTTGTTCAGCGTCTTGAATGTGTTAAAGCGCCTGCGCGTGTCTATATATCCTGATCAACGTCACATCACTTAGGCATACTGGAGACGAGCCCTTGCGAACAGCGCCATTCTGCACTACAAGGAAGCCCTCAAGGACTTCAGGGCGGTGGTCAAGCGGGATCCCGGAAACCGCGATGCGAAGCTGAAGCTCGCCGAATGTGAGAAGCTGGTCCGCCGGCTGGAGTTCGAGAAGGCCATCGAAGTCAGCGACCCGCCCTCGGCTTTCGAGAGCCTGGACATCGACTCGATTGCTGTGGATGCTAGCTACGATGGCGTGCGGTTGGAGAAGAACGAGATGACCCAGGATTTCATCGACGATATGATCGAGCGGTTCAAGAACGGCAAGAAGATTCACCGCAAGTACGTCTTCCAAATAATCAAGGCCGTGAAGGACATCGTCTACGCTGAGCCGACGATGGTGGAGGTCGGCGTCGAGGAGGGCACCCGCTTGACGGTCTGTGGTGATACGCACGGTAGGGACCTAGCGCGCTGTTGTTTTCTGGTTTTCTGGTGAAGACTGATCGTGGGACAGGACAATACTTCGACCTGCTTGAGATCTTCCGATTGAACGGCTACCCGAGCGAGACGAATGCTTATCTCTTCAACGGTGACTTTGTGGATCGGGGGTCGTGGTCGACTGAGATTGCTCTGCTTCTCTACGCGTACAAGTGGCTGAGACCCAACCGCATCTTCTTGAACCGTGGCAACCACGAGACGGACGACATGAATAAGGTGTACGGTTTTGAGGGCGAGTGCAAGGCTAAGTACAACGAGACCACCTTCAAGGTCTTCTCGGAGTCCTTCTCCGCTCTGCCCTTGGCCACGTTGATCGGTAACAAGTACCTTGTTCTCCACGGTGGTCTCTTCTCCGACGACAACACTACCCTCGATGATATCCGCAAGTTGAACCGCCACAACCAGCGCCAGCCGGGCCAGCAGGGGTTGATGATGGAGATGCTCTGGACCGACCCGCAGACCCAACCTGGTCGTGGACCCAGCAAGCGCGGTGTTGGTCTTCAATTCGGACCCGACGTCACCAAGCGCTTCTGTGAGAAGAACGGACTGGAGGCGATCATCCGATCGCACGAGGTTCGCATGGAGGGTTACGAGGTTGAGCATGATGGTCGCTGCATCACGGTGTTCTCGGCGCCCAAGTACTGCGATTCCACCGAGAACAAGGGCGCTTTCATCAAGATTGGGCCTGAGCTCAAGCTTGAGTACCAGGTCTTCGAGGCAGTTCCCCACCCTGACATCAAGCCGATGGTAAGTCCTGCTGGCCCCAACAAAGACAAATACACAGACGCTAAAACGCTCCGCAGGCCTACGCACAAAGCTCCCTCATGTCTATGATGTGAGCCCCATTCTGACTTGGAATGATGAACGCAGGGAAAGCCTCGCGGCTTGGAGGCGAAGTTCCGAATACATAGACGAGGATTCGGATGGATTGCCTCAAGACCCACAGTACGAGGGCGATGTATCTATTGAATGATTTTTGATTGATGACGACCTTGAGGACCATTTTGTTTTGCATAGCGGATTAAATCTATCGTTCTGGATCTGAGGGGTGTTTTCTTTTTCTTTCTTCTATCTTTTCGTGCTCTTCTTTATTCTTTCTCATCTTCATTGCTATTTCGCTTCTTGCCCGGCATGTGCAGGCAGGTCTGAGCGGTGTTGGATTGGCGGCTGTCGTGCGGAATTGCCTTTTATCTGCATGTGCATTGTGCTTGTTTGTTGTTTCATTGCTTCGCTTTGGATGGTTGATGGTTATAGCAAATGTCCCTCTCTTTCCTTCTAGACAGACGAATAGACCGCAGCGCAATTGAATTAGAGAATGACTGACTGACCGACTGACTGATTGATAATGGTTTGGCTGCGGGGCGGAGGGATTTCCGAGCGCGGCAACCCCGCGATTTTTAAGGTTCAAGGTTCAACCAAGTCGCGGGCTTCCCTTCCCCTCCATCATTCTTCCTTTCTTCAGACACCATCTCTTCTTCTTCTTCTTTCTTTTGTTTATTCAGAATCTGCGGTTTTCTTCTACCAATATAACACAATGGAGTACGACCCAAAAACCCGTAAGTCCCTCATCTGATTCTCTGAAACCAACCAGTATTTGACTGACCCCGCCTTTCCCTCTCCACCAGCGCAGTATCTCACTTCCGATCAGTCCAGCTTTGCCTCCGTCTCAGCTCGTGAGCGCTGGCCGGTCATCCTGGTACATCTGTCCCTGATAGATCACTGCCATGTAACGCTGACGACAACGATATAATGCAGACAGGCGCCATTGATGACCTGCACCGCACCGTTAGCGAGACGACCGATGAGGAGAAGCGTCGGGAAGGAAAGGAAATCACCGAGAAGCTCGCAGCATTCAAGTATGAGCTACAGCATAACAGACAATTGACGTGAGACTTTGACCTGTACAACGCCGGTGCCAAACCATCTAACATGGCCATGCCGTCGACAGCCCCCTTCCCGACGACGGCCAACCCGATATCGCAGACTACAACAAGGAGCTTGAAGAACGAGGGAACCCGGCGTGGCACGATGTCTCGTGGCTATACTCAGAATGCTACCTCTGTGCGTGACATATTGAGCTCGGGGGCTTGGGCAATTGGCGCTGACGACATAATCAGACAGACGGTTGAGCACCGTTTTCTCGCTCTCCAAACACTGGAAGGGCTATGACGTGTTCGCCCGGCAGAAGCTCTCGACCTTCAAGTCATCCCGTCCTGCTGTTCTCGAACTGGCGGCCCGATACAAGGAGCTGGCCACGGAAGCCGAGAAGGGCGGCAACGAGGGCCGCAGCGCGGAGCAGATCGAGCAGGCGGAGCGGGTGCTCTTCTCGGAGATGTGCGAGATCTGCCTGTGGGGCAACGCCACCGACCTGTCCCTCCTGACCTCGCTCACCTACGAGGACATCCAGAAGCTGCAGGGCTCCAAGGCCCGCAAGGCCGCCGAGGAGAACATCCTTGTCAACGACCTCGACGCCGCCTTCGACGTGCTGCAGCGGGCCCGGCGCGAGCGCAAGCACCACGAGCGGCGCGTCGACATCGTCCTCGACAACTCCGGCTTCGAGCTGTTCGTCGACCTCATCCTCGCCGGCTATCTGCTCTCCGCGGGGCTGGCCACGACCGTCGTCCTCCACCCGAAGGTGATCCCGTGGTTCGTATCCGACGTCACCCCGCCGGACTTCATGGCCCTCATCAACGCCCTCGCCGACGCCCAGGGCTTCTTCACCGCCGCCGACGAGTCCGGCCGCACGCACGACCCGCTGTCCCAGAAGGAACTCTCCGAGGTGACTTTCTTGTTCGACCACTGGAGCCACCTCCACGCCGAGGGCAAGCTCATCATCCGCCCCCACGCTTTCTGGACCCTCCCCGGCGGATACTGGCGTATGCCGTACCTCGCCCCGGATCTCTACGAGGATCTCAAGCAGAGTGAACTCGTTCTCTTCAAGGGTGATCTCAACTACCGCAAGTTGACCAATGACGTGAGTTTCTGTTTCCCCTCCTTTCAGACAAATAAGAGCATCAAGTAAACCTAACATCCCTCTAAAGTCCACCTGGGACCCAACCACCCCCTTCACCACCGCCATTGGGCCCCTCGGCCGCCCCGACTCCGGCATCCGCGTCATGGCCTTCCGGACCTGCAAGGCCGACGTCGTGGTCGGTCTCCCTGCCGGCGTAGACGAGAAGCTCCGCGCTCTGCCTGACGGCGGCGGCGCCGAAGCTCGCAAATGGGCCTGGAGCGGCAAGTGGGCTGTTGTGTCGTTTAGTGATGGCAAGCAAGGCTCGAAGTAAACATTCAGATCATCTTCTTGCGATTTGTAGATAAATGCGAGGGATGAATGGATAGATTAATAAATTAGATAGACGCTACAGTTTTTGGAAAGGTGGATGACCGGACCGGTATATAACTCGCTTTGCCAACCCAACATTGAAGATGGATGGGAGGAGTACTCTCGAGTTTAGTCATGCAAGTTGATAAGATCCTAATACGTGGAGATTATGTTGACAATGGTTGTTGATATGTAAGTCATCAACAGTGAGTGCTTGATTGTTTGATTCGGGGTATAGTGATGTCAATAGAAGAGACAAGGCATAGGAGGGTGTGGGTAGGAGTCAACCCATCCGAGAGAAAGACTAAGAAACTAAAGATTACATCTCACATACAGTCAGTTGGGACAGGCGGAGCTACATATTGTTATGTAGCCCTCCGAGCGAGTCCCTCTTGTAACGTAACAACAAACACATGGGAAAAAGAATGCCGTGGGTGACCAAAAACAGAACACGGGATGGTAGAAAGGAAGAGACGAGAGCGAAAAGCACATGACAAGTTAAGACAAGACAAGACAGGACAAGCTGTAGCAGCGAACAAAGCTAACGTGATCTCTAAACCGAATCCCCCGGGTAGCGCCCTTGACAATGGTATATTTTCCTCCATCCCGAGTGAACCAGATCGAAACATAGAAGATTAGAACAGAAAAGGAAAAGGAAGCAAGAAGGACGGAACAAATGGGAGTTAAAGATTTTAGATCTCGTGCTGGTATCCGGCCACGATCGACGGAAAAAAAGAAAGGGTGCTGGCTGCGTGGCAGGTTATGAGGTTCGTCATTATGATGTTATGATGGTTCTCGTTCTAGGCTTCGAGTACCGACAACGTTGGGTTGTTGTACGTTCGGATATTCTCTTTGCCTTGCTCTTTGGGTTTGCGGGTTTCATCCTTGCGCTGCTTGAGGCGCGCCTGGGCCGAGAGCTTGCGGTCGAGCGGGATGGAGTCCCTTTGCACGGCGGCTTGGCTGGGTTTGCGTTTGGAGGTGCGGTCGAGGGGATATGAGTGTGATTCTGATACGCCGGAGACGGCATCGAGGCCGTATTTGGAGGGGCGGTGGGAGCGGAGACGGTCGTTGGTGGTGGTAGTGGTGCGGATATGATGGCTGTCGTCAAGATTTTGAGCGAGATGGTGGGCGAGAGAGGTGATGGTAGATTTGCTGGGGAGTGGATGGGTGCTCCGGTAGCTGTTGGTGTCGTACTTGTGCTTTGAGCGTGAACGTGCAGGCTCGACAGACGGGTACTCTGGAGGTGAGGATGGAGGGATGGCGGCTTCATCGCCGTGGTGATAGCGGGAGCCGGGGGCAGGGAGAGTCTCCCCTCCTAGAAATGCCAGTTGATCTTCGTCGCTAATCCCCATCGCTCTCATGGCGCGTTTCAGGTCGAGATCGCCTGCTGTATACCTTGAAGACGGGTATGAGCGTCGCTCTTTAGCTCGCGGGCTCGGGCTTGGTGGCTCGTCGAGCTCGATTGTCTCCTCCAGCGGTTCTTTTTCGGGGCTAGCTTGCACGCAGAAATCGTAAACGTGAACCCCAGTGTGGTCTTTTCGAGGACTTTCAGAGCGACGAGCGCGGCCTTGCAGCTGTGGTAGACGTTCGATGGCTGTGAGCTTGATTCTGAGCTGATCAACCTGCTCCTGCATCCGGCGGCGCTCCTCACTGAAAGACGCTTTGAGGCTCTCCTCGTGTTGGCGGTGCTGTTGAGAAGTTGACTTCAAGCGGTCTCGATATTCCTGAATTCGCGATTCCAGTTTGACTTCGCGCTGCTTCAATTTCGCTTCCTTCTCTTTGCGACGCCCCTCGTATTTGCTCATCTCCTGCTTCACACGGGCGAGCGTCTGCTTGAGTGACGCGTTCTCCTTCTGCAACTCCGAAGCCTTCTGCTCCGAGATGCGCGCCAAATCCTTCAGCTTATTGAACTCTTCTTGTTGACGCTTCATTTCCTCGATCTTGGCGTTCGCTTGATCCAGAGCATGCTGGACCTTGTGGACGCTATCGGTCTTCGGCTCAGAAGGACTGGCGATCCCCGAAGTATCAGCTACCTCACTAGTCTCCTGCCCCACGACTCCATGACGTTCCAATGTTTTCCGCAGTGAGTTGACTCGATGTTTGTACTGCAACGCTAATGCGGTTTGCTTCGTGAGTTCCTGCACTAATTTCTCCTTGTCCGTATTGGTGCTCTCTCCGACCATGGTTGAGGCCAGATGGGTGACATGGCGTTCCATCTCCGCGACCTTGATCTCCTCCTCTCTCAGCTTCTCGGCCAACCGAGAAGCCTCCTCATCCTTCTTCTTAGCGTATGTTTTCGCCGCCGAGCGATACTGAATCAACTTCTTAATCTCCCAGGTGGTCTTGTTCCGGTAATTGTCGTACTCCGCCTTCCAGTACTTCCCGGACTGTGATCGCGGTTCGTCAAGGTTGATGGTGTCGTCGTTGTCATCCTCTTCCGGTTGCGACATGTTGAGTTGTGTCTCGGGTGACGAGGTAGAGTCAACAAAAACGTCAACGCCCTTAGCGGGCTTGTCGCGTGAATCCATCAAAGCTTGAGTAAGCTTGCTTCTTGGTTTTGATGCAGACGAGCCGGAAGACCATTGGCTGCTGAAATTATTGGCGAGACTGGCTGGTGTCTTGATGTATTTCGCAGATAAATCGTCACGTTGGCGCTCGTTATCCACCACACTTTCACCAAAAGAAACTGTCTTTCGTCGGTTGGAGGCAGTTCCGGGTGTCACGAGGATGCTTTTAGTGGGAGAGGCCATCGCGTTCACAGCTAGATCAAGGTCGGCTCTGGTGGCGCGAGGGACATCTCTTGCGTTCTGCGTAGGTTTCAGAACAACATTATCGGCGAGTCGGTGATTGGCTGCAGCGGGCTTTGTTTTGGCTGCGCGGTTGCCGGTGTCTTCGTTATCGTTGTCAGCAGCAGGAGTACCAAACAAGGCACTCTTGAAGGCGCGAATCGCAAACACGGGAGCGGGCGTTTCTGGTGGCTCGAGAACCTTGGAGTTGTCTAGGTCTTCTAAGACAATGAAACAGGGAAGAGAGAGAACAAGTCAGCCCGCGGAGACCGCGCTTTGCATATAGTCAGGTAAAAATGGCTAGCATTATTGGGCCGTGAAAGGTTTGGGGGGGTGTGGTGAGTGGGTGGGCGGCGCGCGCGTGCACCGGCGCAAGGCGGGCAGCGGTAGTATAACAAACTAGTAGTAGGAGTATAAGACAGAACTTACCTGCGACTTGCTCTTCCTGGCCGGTGATCCACCCCAACATGTCGAATGCAGAATCATAAGCGAAGAAAACTCTGATCTCTGGCAGTAAAGGGATTAAATGAGCAGGCTGGAGGAGAATTGCATGACAACCGCGACAATCATTGGCGATTAAGAGGCAGAGAGGCAAATGGGAGGGGCGCGACCGGCAGGGGAATTGACGTGGAACGCTGTGCTTTGTTTACGCTTTGGTTTTAGTTCGCAGTTCGCCGTCTTTTCCCCAGCACCCACTGCGCTAGAGACCCAAAGGCGGTCAGCGGAAAAATGACGGGGCGATCCACAGTCGGGCATTACTTACCGCCTTTCCACCCTTTCCGCCTTTGTGCAGGCAGTGTTCAGTGTCAGTCCAGTGTCCACTGCCCAGCGTATGGGGTGGTCCGTGTGGTTACCGCTCTTTGGCCTGCCTGTCTTTCTTTTCCTATTTCCTACACTTACATTATTCCTCCCACCTTTCTCTCTTCTCCTCCCGCCCTTCCCACCCTCCACCTCTTCCACCTCCCATACTTCATTCTCCCTTCCCCCCCCCTTTACTTTCATTCTATTTTATTCTCCGAATATGTGCTTTTCTGAGCTGTAGAGGGCTGCAGCTTCGGCTGCATCTTTGTCACTATTCTCCGTGGCAAAGGCCAATTCTATCTGGGTGCAAACATTAAACTCCACACACCGCCCAACGCCCCGCTATGCCTCACAAACAGAAGAAGAATTTCAACAATGCCCCCAAGATTGGCTCTCCTCGAGCGGAGAAAAAGCAGCTCTCCCCAGATCTCTCTGCCTTTGCCGCACCCATAGTCGCCCCCACCAATTACCAGGAGATCCACCAAAACGAGGTGGAAGCCCTGCGCTCCATCTACGGCGATGATTTCGAAGAAGTTGCGCACCGGCGCTCCGCCTGGCAGGTATGCTCGACAATACTTCAGCCGAATCCTTGGCAAGAGAGAACAAACTGACTTGCGTCAATTCAGCAATCGTCTGAGCTTGCTTTTAAGCTTCATCTCCGAGCCTCGTCCAACCCCGATGTACATTTAGAGTTGCTGGTGGAGCTACCAACGACCTACCCAAAGACCGTTCCGAATCTTTCCCTCGAGAATCTAGACGACTTGCGCCAGGGTGCTCGCTCAAGAGTCCAAGATATCATTCGCAGCAAACCCAAAACCCTTCTGGGCTCTGAGATGATCTATGAGCTGGCCGTGTCCATCCAGGATGTCCTCGAAGACGTGGCAGAGGCGCAAGCGCAAGACAAGGATCTTCCTAGTCTTGAAGAGGAACGCAGGGAGCAGGAGGCCGCTGCCAATCAACGAGCCGAGCTAGAACGACAGGAAGAAATCCGCAAACAGGAGGCAGCCACCGCAGAGGAAGAACGTGCACTGCAGCAGCTGCTCGAGGACAGGCTGAGGGAGCGGACAAAGCTGTCGCGTCGCAAGAGTCGCACGCCTGGCTTAGACGCCAATGGAGACTCAGATGGCGTGCAGCAATCCGCCGGTGCTATCACCTTCGATCCGCCCCTCGTCGTGACGGAGCCGGGTCAGGATCCGCTGTTCTTCAGAGGCGTATCCGGAAAGTCGCTCCTAAAGAGTCGCCAGTACAAAGAAACATGTACTGTGAGACCTATCGCTTCCGACAACCGAGCCTATGCCCCTCTCCTTGTTTTGAAGGAAATGTCACTCGACCAAAAAGGCGTCGACCCCCTGAAATTCCGGGAAAGAATGCGCTTAAGCGAAGACAAATTGGAAGGTCTAAAAAAGCTTCGACATCCGAACATTCGAGACTTTATCGGATTCAAGATCTCCAGACCTTTAAGCTCGCAGGAGACCATTTGGAAGGTTTCTGCATTGGTCGAATACTCAAATAAGGGGCCTCTTTCGGAATTCTTAGACATGGTTGGAACGGTTCCGGTCGAATTGCTCCGCAGCTGGACGATCCAACTACTGGAGGCTCTGGAATATTATCACCGCAGTGGCTTTGTTCACGGCAATATAAGTTG